CAGACCTTGAATCAATCTATTCTCAAGAATTGATTTATCGAAATTTACATTCTGGAAATATCTTGCAAGAGCATTTACATAGTGCTTTTATTATGGATTTAAGACTTTCAATATCATCTACTCTAAGGCAGGATGGAGAAATTAATGATGTTTTGCTATACATAGCACTCGAAATTCTGATAGGTAAATCGTTTACACAGGCGGCTGATATTTATACCTTTGAAGTTATCATGTCCGAAGTATCTACACAAGAAGAGCATTTGATGGTAAACTTTTTAATCTTGGTCTTTTATTAGAAATTTGTTGAGGAAAAAGACCAGGATTTGCTGAGGGAACACCAAAGTGCATGAATTCGGATCAAAATAAATGACTCACAGCAATTGTAATTGTTAACAAAATTGGACATTGATGAATCAAGATGATATAATGGATCAAAATGATAATTAAGCCTAACATTGAATCACCAAAATATCCAAATCACATGTATACCAGCAAACTCATCATCACACAAGAAATAACTATTTTGCCGACACCTATTTTACTGATAGCTCCATTTAACTGACATTACATGAGTGACAATTTACTATTAATATATACTCTCAAATAATAAAATGCTAACACTAACCCATGTGATGTCAGTTAAATAGGCTGTTGGTAAAATAGGTGTCGAAAAAATAAGATCTACCCAGAAATAACAAATTATTTAGTACATAGTATTAGATTTACATATTTTCGTTTCTAGTTTTGTATACATAATAAAAATTTAATATGTAACATTGAATATGTCAAAATCAATAGCTGTAAAATTTAACAATTAAGTACCCGCAGACTTTTTTGTAAAGCCCAACCCAACCTGCCTTAAAATATGGGCCCAACCCGGACCTTTGCAGTATTGGGTCAGGTTTGGGCCCGGGTAGCCTGGCCCGATTCCATACCCTACCCACATATAGTGCCCGGTTCCTCACAGTACTCGCAGGTACTATTCAATTTAAAAAATAGAATTCTTGAATAAGACCCGGGTACAGTACAGTGCTAGACGGAAATTCTAAGAAACACAAAGTTGCGACTTTGCTGATTCAAATATTAAAATTTTAGTTTTCCAATGATCTAGGTCGATAATATGTATAAGCATTTATGTTTCATTAATAATATGGGCTAAAGGACATATTGCACTTCTAATAAAGATTGCAATAATAATAAGATAGAATTAATTATTTTTTTATTTTTAAAAGAATCTTCGTTTCGTATTATAATTTAATCTTTGTAAATTAGCCAATCATATGAATGACATCCTATAAGGCATATCTGCTTTGTCAGCTGATTTTCGAATAGAGAATTTTTATTGGCTGATTATATTAAAAAAAAAAAAAATTTTCAACTCCCACTTTGCCGACGCGGGCGGGATATGAAAACCAATTATATAAATTTATATGGCCTTATTCAAATATTTGCAAATAATTTTTTCGTGTCTCTGAAGAGTTTCTTAAATAGTACTCTAAACCATATAAATAAGTTACCCAGGTAAATTGATTTGCATTAGCCAATCAGACGAATTTCTGCCTATGAACGTACAGTACATACGTATACTCAAGTTGGTTCAGAGCTCTAGGGAACGAAAATTTTCAAAACGAATTTTCTTTATAAGAATGTCGGCACCACCAAGTGCAACGGTATATGGTGCACCACCTACCTTCGGAAACCCCCAGTCAGGACTATCAATTTCCAAACAGCCAATGTGCACCACGCCGAGTAATACTATTTACATCAACAATCTTAACGAAAAGATAAAACTGCCAGGTAATACGAGTTGCTGATTTCCTTTAGATTTGACAAATATACTTAGAGAGATTTATTTTATCAGCCTTGAAGAATGCTCTAAAAGCCATTTTTGAGCAGTATGGAGAAATTTTAGACATTACAGCGCGTAATACTTTAAGAATGCGTGGTCAAGCATTCGTAGTTTTCAAAGAACAAGAAAGTGCCGTTAATGCTGTTAAGGGAGTTCAAGGATTTGCATTGCATGGGAAGCCAATGGTGAGTGTTAAGCTCAGCTCTTAGCCAATCGATTATTTTTCATATAACTTTTTGTTATGCACGAAGGTTATACAATTTGCAAGAACCAAGTCAGATGTAATCGCAATGCTGGATGGAACTATCGAGGAACATAAAAGATTAAGATTAGAAGCGAAGGGTATCTATTAAATTTATGTATAATGCATTGAAAAGCGAAACATAATAATAATTTCCGGCATTTTTTAGAAAAACGTGCTAAAGAACCTCCTGTAAAAAAATTCAAGCCAAGTAATGTATCACAATTTCAATTGGGACCATCAAATGTTCCTGGTGGTAAGTTTCGTTATTCTATTCTATAGTTACGTAATACTCACTTTTTTTCTTTACTTATTTATTATATTTATTATATATTAGCATCAATGTATCATTTTGGACATCAAGTTCCTGCGACTGGGAATATTCCAGACGAATACCTTCCACCCAATAATATTTTATTTCTTCAAAATTTACCGGGTGATATAACAGGAGCTGCCCTTACTGCTTTATTTGAACAGTACGTTATATTCTACGTTTAATATAATTACCATTAATTAGTTCTTGCTTACATATATTACACTTTATATATATATTAGATATCCTGGGTTCAAAGAAGTCCGTTCAATTCATCCAGCTAAGGGTATAGCATTCGTAGAATATGATAGCGAACCTCAGGCCATGATTGCAAAGGAAGCTTTAACCAATCATCCTATAAGTCCTGATAACAAGCTCAAGATTACATATGCAAAAAAATAAATCTAAATGGATAGTGCATGCCCTCTGTCTATTTAAAATTATTTTGGTAGAAATCAAATTTACATGTGACTATGTATGCTTGCGTGAAATTGTTGAACATATTGGTTTATAAGGTACGTCGAAATATATTTAAAATCTGATAAATTGATTACTAATGATTTGTCTAAGATGCCAACGGTTCTGCGCACGTATTTCAATGCTCACACCTTTATAACGGGTGCTGGGAATATCATTTTGTTGTTTGTTGATCATAATTTAGTAACCATATTTTATATTCATATCAATCTAATTTATGGGTAAAGTACTTCAACATTTGGTAAGCTATTTTATCTTATATCACAAATAATCAATTTAATGATTTCGTAGTCGATTATTTATTATCAAATTTATAAGATAAATAATGAATTGTATAAGTAGCGAATCCTTTATAATATCTTAAAACCCGAAATAACGGGCATAGGCGTTATTTCGAAAACCGAATCCTTTAAAAATAGCATATTTAATTTCATAAGTGTCTCTAAATAACGCGCACCTTATATAATATGTTGTGGATTTATATATAGTAATAAAAAGGCTTAGTAACGCATTCGAAAGTGATCAAGACAATACGCAGATACCCATTATTTTGAGTTTTCACTGCATGTTTCGTTAGGGTGATCATCAAACAAATCATAAGTAGCCGTACATATAAAATTTACTATGTAAGGATTTTTTACAGGTTTTTTTAATAATTTCGGAAATT